TCGAAGCCCACTCTCCGCCTCTTTGGTGGCTCGTCCTCCTCCCCGGTCGACGACGACTCAGCTCGCGGACGAACGGTACCGGACGGGCCTTCATCCTGAGGCACGGCCCGGGCTGGGTTGGTGAGAGCCACCAACTCCACAGATGTCGCCCTCGACGAAGGACGAGCTACAGATGGAGCACTAAGCCGAGCGACTGCACCCGGGCGACGAAACGCCAACTGAGGGGCCCGGGTTCTGCGAACCCTCCCTAATCATAACGAACAAAGTTCAGGAAATGAGAAATGGACAAAAGAGGTCGGGAAGTAAGAAAGCAATCTCACCTGTGAGGGGCCTACGACCGAACTTCAGATGGAACGACGCCCAAGTGCGAATCCCCGCTGTGTGGGGCAGGACGGCCTCTACCCATTCCCGGATTCCCTCCAAGGGCGGCGGCGGCACCTTCTCGGCTGCAGAACATCAGAAATAAGTCTACAGGTAACACAAGACATAAGGGAAGATAGACCGAAACGAATTCTGGCGACCGAAAGCAGATATTTTCTCACATAAATTAAATGTTTTCTAGGTTCTCTTATTTCGGTGATGATGCAATTAAGCACGCAAGTGTTATTTCAATTCTTTTGTATTTTATGAAATCAAGTTCTCATTATTTTTTAATTTCTCATACTCACTTGCAGGGGCGGATTTAGGGGGCGGAAGGGGGTTCACCCGAACCCCCTTCACCGAAAAATTACACTGTATATAGAAGGCAAAATCTGTTTTTACCTCTATATATTAAGTTTTGAACCCCCTTAACACAACCCAAAAGTGTAGCTTAGTGGTTAAGGGGGTTCAAAACCTTCCTAAGGTCATAGGTTCAATTCCCACTAGCTAGAATTTTTTTTTTCTTGCTTTTTGGTGAACATTTGAGGGATCTAAGATGCCTTTGAAAGTGAATAGGGTAAATTGGATTGGTGGGAAGAAAAATATATTGAATTTTGTGGTCAGTGACGAAGCTAGAATATGAGTTACGTGTTCGGTTGAACTCAATAGCCTTTTTTCAAATTCAGTAGGATTCGGCTGAACTCGGAAACTTTTGCTCAAAACATGTATTTTTTTAAAAAAAATTATTGAATATATATAAATTATTAATTTAGAACGCAATAACTTAAAAATCTAAAAACCCGAAACTATAAGTTTTAAAGCCTCAGCTTATGGTTTTAGGTTGACTTTTTCTTCTTAATAAATTCTTTTTATTACTATTAAGGGGTGGGAAATGGGGAAGAAAAATATTACACAGAGAGAGTTTGATGCTCACCACATCGTGAAAGATGTGGAGCTCACTCGTTGGATTGCTGATTTTGCTCCTCACTTTCACTATCTGCTAAAGGGACTTAGAAAATAAAAAAGCGTAAATCTTTCATTTAAATTTAGATATGAAGTTAGGCATAAATTTATGAATTTCAAGCATAAATATATGGAGTTCAGCCATAAATCTCTGAAGTTCGCTTTGAACAAACATTATGCTAAACTTTATTATAATTTTAGACGCAAACTTTATAAACTTTAATTACATACGTCTGAAATTATTTTGAAGTGACTAAACTTATAATAAATTTATAAACTTTGGTTATGCCTTAAATAGGATCCCAAAATTAGCTATCTGTGCATTTGCCCCAAGAAAACAAAAGAACTAATGATCGAGATCTGAATGATTAAGATTCTGATAAATAATAAATAAAAGCATTTTTTGACTAAAATTTAAATGATTAGGATTCAAACTTTTACGTGCAAACAAATGAGGCTACAATACTTATTATTGATCATGACTAGAATTTTTTCTCTTCTTTTTTTTGTCCCAGAGAAAGCATTCAGTTCAAAGCTTTAACTAAGGGGTCTAAAGAAGCGTCGCATCCTAACGGGGTGTGATGTAGACAACCTACCTTGATGCAAGTATCAGTGGCCTGATTCCATATCTCGAACTCATAACCTATAAGTCACACGGAAACAACTTTACCGTTACTCCAAGGCTTCCCTCGAAAATCAATAATACTTACCATTTCAAAGGAAACTTCTATGGAGGTGAAGTTTTTAGAAATGTCTTTTGAAAAGTTAAACCTTGTATAGATATATTGCTAAATATATAAAGCACCCCTCTAAGTTGTCCCCAACGATCATTTAAACACTTTAACTTGGCATATGACCAGATAGACACCTCTGCTTGGAAGAACGGTATCTCTTAAACCCTTCACGCTGACATGGCAAAATT